AGTGGGGATTGTACCCAGAGAACGACTGCATGACACTGTCAGTATCACTGCCCAGTAATCGTAGGAGCTGAATTACCACCAAATTGTCATCTTGGCATCTTGACCTAACTCACACACCGTCGAGTCTCTTGTCACTTGAACTCTTAAGCATGTTCCCATGCTTCTCCACACAATAATTTACTGTCAATGATCACTATATTTGCAAGAGGAGGTATCATAATATAGTTAAAAATAAACTCGGTAAACGGCTTAGTAACTCCAGTAACGTTGCAGTGAAATCGTTGAGCCGAAGCGAATCGCCTTGTGAAGTCTGAAGAGTAATCTCACAAGGTTCGCCTAGGGAGGATCCTTTTTATCACTGCTTGCCAAGATCGTGAGTGCATCGGATACTCATAGCCTACGAGTCATAGGCAAACCTAGAGTCAGGCGTTGGGCACACACTGGCACGAAAGCCTCATTGCGGAGCGAGCGGAGCATGTAGCGTCACTACGCACACATGCGTTCGTTCGTTCGCCCGAACCATACCAGCAGTCTACTGGCAGTAGAGCTGTGGAGACACATATCATTCGGAAAAATGTAATTCCCGTACTCCGCAAAAATATATGAGAAAAATTCACACCACCACCACGTCTCGTGTGTTGGCCAAAGCTGTTATGCGGCGTGGTTGTGGGAGAGCGAAAAGTATGCGGAAAATATTATTAATCAAACTTTCAGCCCTTACGGCCCTTGATACGCATCGATAGCTCTCCTGGAGAATGCGATAGTATCAATGGACATCCTCTTTCTCTGACGGATATTGTTAAAATCCTCAATACAAGTGTAAGAATCTGTGTAGATGTCGGCATCTTTGCAGGGACGGTTACTTACAGTCTACATACTTTCAAAGGTGTCATCTTTGATGACACCCAAGGCTCCCTTCGCAGGAATGCCTAGGTGGTGGTGGTCCTTACCATTCCATCTACCGCTCCATCCAGAAACCCAGAAGAATATCATAATCATGTCTGAGATGTGAGGTGTGAGTCACACCATCAGATGGTTTGCATCCGTCCTCAAGGAAGTTTGATAGCGCGAAGCGATCATCCGGTTCCAATGATCCATGTATCCGGATTGTACTACACTGTAGTAGAGCCCTTTCAAAAGTCAAAATACTTTGAGAGTGGCGAAGATAATCTTCACCACATCTCAACTTGAAACTACCAGTCGTATGATGCGGCTCGACTGACAAGATGACTCTGTCGGCCGCATCACGATTAAAAATAATAGAGTCGCCATCTCTGGCGAGATAATGAACCACACCGAAGATCTTCACCACCATCGAAACGGAGCCGCGCTCCTCTTCCTCCTCGAACTCGAAAAGGAGCTCCGCCGGAGATCTCCGATGCTTCCGGACGACCTCTACCCTCCTGTCGTCGACAGGCTGTCGATGACTCGCACTCCGTGCCTGAAAAGGACACTAAGCAGAGACGTCAAAGCAAAATTCTACATTGTAGGTCCTACAACTGAGGAGATGGGCATGACAGAGTGTCGTTGACGGTTGTAGAAGGCATAGCACTCCGGCTCAAGGCTTCGCGTAGTAATAGATTACGTCGGCGAGCGCTTAATACGTGGGTCTTTCGTAACCTGCCATCAGTCGTCCAAGTGGTACTGTATTGGAAGGATTGCAACGAAATCGCTGCTCAGTTTTCCTCGTTCTATCCTTGTTATCGATGAAGCCGGTCTCCAGTCAAGTTCATGAGGCCTTTGGTAAGGCCTTGAGGTCTACGATGCCTTCGACGCTACAGGTAATAATATAATCCAAATCGGCATCCAATGACTACCGACAGGCCTCTTGTCCGGACCCGATGGTCGCTACAGCCAATCCTAAATTTGGGGATTATCAATGCAACAACGCGATGGGGTTGGCGAAGAAGTTTAAATCGGATCTTCCTGATGGGATGAAGATTCCAAAACAAATCGGAGAGAAGATCAAATCCAATTTAATGGAAGGTCGGCGGCCGTCACCATTCGTCCGACGTCAGACGTGTTCCTCTTTAGAATCTCCCGAAGAGTTCGAAAGTGCCACCGTCGCCCCCGCGGGTTTCGTGACGGTTAAACTTTCCTCTGGTTGGATCGCCAAACAATTGACATCGAGTGTAGTAGAAAACACTATAACATATTGGGAGGAGCCCTCAGGTACTCGGTGAATGCAAAGACGGTAAAATTAAATTGGATTTACCCAATAAGGAGGCGCCGAGGAAAGTTATTGTGGACATGTCGAGTCCGAACATCGCAAAGGAGATGCACGTTGGGCATCTGAGGAGTACTATTCTTGGAGAGACCGTCAGTCGAATACTCGAATACTCCGGCAATGATGTATGCAATAATATTATTAATCGATCATCAATCGACTCACAGGTTCAACGTATTAATCATGTCGGCGATTGGGGTACTCAATTTGGTATGTTGATTGAACACATGAAGGACGCTTATCCCGACTTCCTCAACCACACCCCCGAAGTCTCTGATCTTCAATCCTTTTATAAAGCGGCTAAGAAGCGGTATAGTCCGGACCTTTTGGGGTTACTTTAATAATATCTTTTAGTTTCGATGAGGAACCCGACTTCAAGAAACGTTCCCAAGAAGAAGTTGTCGCCCTTCAATCGGGTGATGAATACGCTCGGAAGGCTTGGCAGATTTGTTGTGATATTTCGAGGAAGAGTTTTGAGGAGGTAATAAAAGCCACTGAGAGGCCAACGCCTCGAGGCCGCCATCATCAGGTCTACAGCCGCCTCGGCATTGAAGGCTTGAAGGAGCAGGGGGAGAGCTTTTACAACGAAATGATCGGACCAATCGTTGAGAAGTTGGAAAAGGAGGGACTTGTGGTCGAATCAAACGGCGCCAAGTGCATCTTCACTGATGTTGATGATGTGAATATTATAATTGATAATTCGATTTGTTATTATTAGAATTATCAGGTGCCAATGATGGTAGTGAAGAGTGATGGAGGTTACGGCTATGATAGTACTGATGTGACGGCGGTGTGGTATCGATTAACTCAACTACACGCCGATGAAGTTGTTTATATTACCGACCTCGGACAAGAAGTTCATTTCAAGAAGCTCTTTGAAGTCGCCAAGATGGCCGTTGGCATCATCCTCCTCAAACTAAACTCGAATACCTCGGCTTTGGTGTCGTCTGTG